TGATGTTGGGTGGGTATGTACCGGATGACGATGCTTCCCTTCTTGATATGGTCGTGGATATAGTGGTGCTTGATGTCGATGTATTTGCGCTTTTTGGTCGGTGCTGTGTTTTGGGCGACTTGGATGGCCGCTTGATTATCGACGTGCAGAGGAGTGGGGTCGTCGTTGAAAAGCTGGAGGTCCTGTAGAACTCTGCGTAGCCATGCAGTTTGCTGCACTGCACATGTTGCCGCAATGTACTCGGATTCGCACGTGGATAGCGCGATGATGGATTGTTTCTTTGATGACCAGTCAATTGGAGAGCGACCTAATGTGTGTACGATTCCTGAGTATGATTTGCGATCGGCAGTGTTCGCGAAGTCCGCGTCAGCGTAGGTTTGCAATGGGGTGTTATTGTTGGTGTAGTGGATTCCGTGTGACATGGTGTGCTTGAGGTATCTCATCAAACGCTTCAGGGCCGACCAGTCATGCTGTGAGGGGCTATGCATGGACGTAGACAACAGGTTTGTTGCATGATAGATGTCTGGTCTTGTCGAGTCGGCGACATAACGTAAATCTCCGATGATTTGCCTGTATAGAGCGTGCTGTTTGGCGGGGAGCGGCGTTGAAGTTTGGGTGTTTAGCTTGTTTTTGTTGACCATATAAGGTGTGGGTTTTGGATTGCATTCGGTGAGATCAAGTTTGGTGAGGATAGCTTTGATTGTGTGAGGCTGGGAGATGTGCATGCTTCCATCAAAGTTGCGCTGAAGACGCCAGTTTAGCAACATCTTGGGGTCGTGAAAGCGCTTGAGTTGGTACTTGGTGGCGAGGATGGAGTAGAGATCGTTGAGGAGTGTTTGGTTGGAGGCTGTGGCAAAAAAGTCGTCCATACTCACTGTGAATATGACGTTTGTGTTGTCGGTTAGTTTGAAGAACATACAGGGATCATGGTGTGATTGGGTGTAGCCTTTCGATGTGAGGAAAGGGTGAGCTGGGTGAGGTAGGTGTGGGCGGCAGGTGGGGTCCCATACAAGTTGCCGATTAAGATGCCTTGTTTGCCGGGATGCTTGTAGGATCCGTTGAATTTTGGGTGCTGTCTGATGTGGACTGGTTGATCGTGGTTATATTTTTCGTGCAGGTAGGCGGCGGTGATATCGAACGTTTCTGAGGACTGGTTGAAGGCGGCTGAGATGGCGATTACTGTGCGTATGGTTGCCTTCTCAGCCATGTATGACGTGGTTTGTAATGGATCGTAGTGTTTGTGTGGAGTCATGCGGTCGCCGCGTACTGCGCATCGTGCTTTCGCGTTCTGATGCTTCCATCATCTGACCGTTTATATCGGTAGGTCATCATTAACGGGATGAGTTCTGCGTTATCCGGGAGTTGCTCGGTTGGAATCCATTTGATAGTTCCGTTTTTGTCGAGATTGTCCAATTCATCGTTGTGTGCTGTTTCCCAGAGGTGGGCATCCGGGTATTTGCGAGCGGCGGAAAGGGATTTCGGGTTTGGCATGGATGGGGTTATGTTGTCTGCTTGTGGCTGATGGGTGGGTGGTTCTGTGGTAGGCATGTGTGTATGGAATGCGTTGATGAGATTGAGCGTGGGGTCGTGTTGGTGCTTGTATGGGGAGAAGTCAATGGCTCGTATCTGGTGGTAGGTTTGGGTGCGTATGTCCATTACCATAATTTGAGACATGTTGATGGCATACATGTACCTCGCGGGGAAGGCTCGTGGTTTCAGTTTCTTTTTCTTTTGATGAATTGGCGCAAAGCCAAGCTGGGCAAAGGTAAATATTCTTGTGGGGTTCGGTGTCTCGTTGTACCAAAGTTGGTGTGGCGATGCGCATAGGCTTTTGTGATAAATGATTTTATATTTGAATACTGCATCTCTCACTGCGTCTTCCCAGTGAGATTCATCGAGGCGAGAGTGATTAAGTGTGGATCTGGCATTTTGCATGAGCGTTTGGTTTATGCGTTCTGCTCGGGAGTTTTCTTGCGGCTGGTATGGGGTGTTTGACTTGTAGGTGATGCCTTTTTTTCGTATATGGTTTTGAGTGCCTTCGTTTGGAGTTCTTTCGCGTTGTCTGTTCGGTAGATTTTGATGGGGTTGGGGCTGTTGTGTGCGATGAGTTGTAGCGCAGATGGAATGATGGTGGCGGTTAGCTTTCTGTTGGGCATGAAGTACACCAAAAGGTAGCGACTGCGTGCATCGATAAATGTCATGAAGTAGTTGTTGCCGTGGCGTGATTTCGGGTTGATTGGCCCACAGGTGTCGGAGCTTATATATGTTCCAATTTCATATGGGTTTTCTGTGCGGGGGTGTGGGCGTGCTTTTTGTTTTGCTGTGTGGCATGCAGAGCAGGTGATGGGTGGAGGAGGGTTCCGCAGGGAGTGCGGGAGTATGGGGATGGTTTTGTTTTTCGCCATGAGCTGGAGGGTCCTTGGGTCGATGTGGTTGAGCTTCATGTGCCAATATTGGTAGGTGTGCTCAAGCGTGGTGGATGGTTTGGGTGGTGTCGGGTCGTAGTGTTGGCGGATTCGTGTCGCGGGTGGTCTGTTGATTAGGATGGTCGTTGGTGTGCGTAGTGGGGCGTTGGTTGTCTTTTTAGGCGGGGGAGCTGTTGGACCGGGATGGATGGGTGGTTGCGGTGTGGTTTGAGGGGTAGTTGGGTTCTTGTTTTTGGGTTTGGGTTGGCGTTGGTGCGCTCGGGCTTGAGTGCTGAGGGCGCGTTAGCGTTCGTCGCTTTGAAGGAGTAGCTTCCATGTTTCCATGGTGCGTGGGCTAATATGTCGGGCTGTGACGGGTCTTTAACATTGATTGCGTATCCGTTTTCTGCAGTGAATAGCACTAGTCCGTATGTTTTTGCCAGGTCGTGGACAGAAATGAGGTTATGTTCGATCTGTGGCGTGGCTATGGCTGGGAGGGAGATGGTGGCGTTTTCATTGGGTGTATTGAAGTTGATCGTCATCTTTCCGGAATGCGTGGCGGGGAGGAGTTGGTTGGAAGCAGTGCGTGTGTGGAGGGGTCGGGTTAGAGAGTTCATTTCTCGGGTGGGGTGTGTGATGTGTGTGGGATGGGCCGCGGAGTCCAGTGTGTACGTACTCAGGTCGCTGTCGGAATTGTTGTTGGCTTCGTTCAGGTTGGGGGTGAATTGTGGGCTGCAAGGCGGTGCAGGTTGTGTAAAACGGGCTCGAGCGTATGTGTGTCTCGTCTTTTTCGGTGTTTGTGAGGGTTGTGCTGCGCGGTGGCGTGGGTGTGCTGGATGGTTGCATTCGAGGTCTGAGTGTTGCGGGCGTGTGCCCCTGGCGACATGGAATTGACACGGGTTGGGGTGGGGTGGGAGCGGAGTGCGGTTCCATGTGCGGGGCTGGCGGTATGGCGTGTGCTGTTGTTGGGCAGGGTGGTTGTTCGGTGTCATGCCCTGGGGCGTGGGTATGATTTGGCGAGTGAAAGCATTGTAGTTTTGGATTCGCATATACTTATGCAAATAATCTTTGATCGTCTTGGGGTTTAAGCTGAGTAGTTGTCTGCCGATTTCAGCGGTGGTGGGGTGGTGACGCATACCGTCTATCAGAAACTCAACCGTGGTAGATTGATCACCAATATCAGGGAATCTAGATGCGATCATTTTTGATCGGATGGCTTCGTGGGCTGTGACGTAGTCAGTGATCGACATGTTAGGGGTTAGGATGGTGGATTCTGCCTGTGATTTCAAGAACTTGTGGTCTTTGGAAGTGTTTGTCTCCAGGTGTTTGTGGATGTCTTGGATGAGATTGTGGGGAGTTGGGTTGGAATCGGGTTCGATGAGGAGGTTAAGGATCGATTGGGGAACAGAGGCGAGGATTGAAGCCAATATTGTGTTTTTGTGTCTGATGTGTGTGTTTAGGGCGGCGGGATCTGTCGGGGGAGCAGGATTGGTGGTAATATGTGCTTGAGCTCCCATAGCCGCTGCTTGTGCACGGAGAGCAAGGCTCCAAGTGTTCTGATTGTCAGGGTCGAGGGTTGGGAGCTGGATCTTGTTGCTGTGGTTGTCCATGGCGTTCTTTGTTGAGTCCAGTGGGCAGTGGTCGTCTGATTGATTGAGGTTAGCTAGGCAGAGTAGCTCTTGTATTTCTGCGGTTGCTTTGGCTTGTGCTGTGCGGCGTTGTAAGCGGCGGAGTCGGTTAGTGGTGGAGGAAGCCGTGGTGGCTGGGGAAAGGTGGTAGGGGGTGGTGAGGATTTGATCGCTGTCGTGGGCGTATGGGCTCATAATCTGTGGGAACGATGCTCCTCCTTTCTTTATTCTCGCCTTCCACAGTTTCCTATTTATGCTGCTTTTGTCATCTCTACACGTGTGCGGTCTGTCAGAACGGATCTGTTGAAGGACTTTTTTCGTTTATTTTTATTTTCGGCGTTCCATATTTAGGGGACCCCCCCTTTACCGTACATTAAAACATCACATTAGGGATATGAGCGCGCGCGTAGAGATGAATAAAAGGGGGGGCACTACACTACGAACCCTCACCTTACACAATTTCCAATCCTCCTCCGCTAGCCCTCACCTCACACCACTTGCCCATCTCTCCTTCCCCTAAGCATACAACAGTCCGATAGACAGTAGTACCCGTCTTCCGACGTGCGCCTGTCAAACCTACTGTACGGTGACGCGACCTACAGAGATGGATGATTTTGACATGGTCAGGTCTACGTAGCGCTATCCAGAACTGCTCATCTACGCAACGTCACGGTTCTGGCGCTGGAGCCCACTAACATCACAAGAACGTACTGCACCATGCAGGCCTTCGTGTGAATGTCAATGAAAGCAGCGTTGCTCTTTTCGCGTGCTCGTACTGCCTTCATATTTCTCATTCTACTCGTTTCCTTCTCTAACTTCAATTCAACCAGTCACAAAACCTCAGTTCGCCTCGGCGCGCGTAGCGCGCACGGGGCCCTCTTTCAAGTACAACAACAACTCCGGCGCACGATGCCTCAGCAGCCCATATGGCGCCACGTTCGTTACTGCAAAAGGGCGTGGTGAGTTAATGTTACAGGTAGAACGCAGCTGCGGACACTGGCACTGTAGCACGGCGGGGACGGGGCGGCGGCGGGCGGCAAGATGCAACCGGCAACGATGGGACATGCAGAAGTGTACGTGCGGCAGCGCGGCGGCGTCCCATGGGTGGCGCTCTGACGTGCCACGGGTACGTGCTCGGGCCGTCTGTGGGACAGGGCGGATGGATGGGCTGCACGGCGCGGCGCGACCGCGGCGCACTCGAGTTGCTCGGGCGTGCGCGGCGGCGGCAGTGGTGGCACGGAGAAGGGCGGAGAAACGGGCCGGATCACGGTGGGGCGGGATGGGCGGAAACAGACTGAGTTGCGACAGTTGGGGGCTGTACGTACCGTGCAGCACGTGCAGCAAACAGTGGGTGCGGCAGCTCGTAGCGCCGGCGGCGAGATGAGATCACGGCAGGGCTGCGTCTCGCGACGCGTGTGCACGGCAGGTGCACGCACGCGTGCAGGGGTGCCGGGGGGCAGTGGGATGCCAAGAAGTTGACCGATGCCTCCGACCACAGTTTGTGGCGGAGGCGACGGCGGTTTTATGTCCCTATGGTTATATGTGGCCCTAATGGCATTGCCCTATCTGAGGTGGTGGTGCCTTGTCACGGTGGAATCACAGGCAGCAGGCTGGGATCGGGGTCGCGGCGGACGCAGCGGGAAGTGGTGAGCGAGTGAACACTACCGCACAAGGAGGAGGCATCCGCCAGCTGGCGCGCGGCGGTGGAGGCCCGGAAAGCTGGCAGGACGGACGGACCTCTGGCGGGGGGAGCGGGGAGGGGGGGAGGCGCGGAAGGTTGTGTAGAAGGTGGCGTGGAAGTTGGCGCAGGTGGAGGAGTGGAGGGGGCCAGGAAGGCAGAAGGCGCAGAGACTGGGGGACATGGTGGGGCGTGGGATGGGCGAGGGATGGGCGAGGTGGGGAGCGTAGGGCGCGGTGGAGGGCGGGTTAATCGGCGAGGCATGACAGCTTTGCGGCGGCAGCGACGTGGCGGACCGGAGGGGACAGGGCGACTTGGGGCGTGGGTGCGCGGACAGCGGGGCGCCGCGCGGCAGGGAGGATGAAGAAGGCTTCCAATGTGGGCACGGAATGCATGGAAGGTGGGGCGGGCCGCGGTGTGGAAAGGTTGCGCAGCAGGGACGGACTGCACGGAGGGCGCAGCGACGAAGACGGTGTGGTTACAGTTCGTGCCGCCGTCCGTAAACGTGATACTTGACCAACGGGGAGCGCTTTCAGCAACAGTGTTCACTGCGCTGGCATACCACGGGCGCAGTCTTGTGTGCGGAGAGCCGAATACGTATGCTGCGGTTGTTGTGGACGCAGGCGCTGTGAAGGCAAGGCACACAAGAACACGAGGCGCTCTTCAACTCTGTTCATTGATGCGATCGTGGTCGTCCGGGACTGCTGTGCTCTCTGTTGATTGGTATGATGATCGGCGCAGTGCACCGCAGGATTGTATCACCTTCACTACTGTAAGAAATGGTACTTCTCTTGAGACGTCTTGGAGCTTCTCACTTTCACTCGTTCACCTGCTTGGCATGGTTTGCCCGAACATATGTACGTATGATTTATACGCACACGCAAATGCGTGCACATAACAAAAGGATCAATTGTTTGAATACCTTGCGAGTCTATCGCTGCGGTTTCGAGAAGAACCAAAGAAGCAAGGTTTGAGGGAAGCTCAGGATCGCCACCTGCACCCGACGTTCCCGAAATGGTCCGGATTCAAGGGCAGTTCTATATGAGGCAACGCAGCGTACGTAAAACGTAGACGTGGGCAGAAAGCAGTGATTTGAAAACAGTTGCGCAACGGGTTTGAGTACGTTGCAAGTCTAGAGACCGGCCGTGAAGATTGTAGCATGTGGCTGATTTTTTAAGACCGCACTGGTTTGAAAGATGGGAGAAAGTGGCAGGTACCCTTCAAGGGTAAGTGTCTTACACTGCACTTCTTTGGTGCCAGTTGACAACAAAGTACTGCAACGGAGTGGTGCACTGTGGGTACACAGGCAGGGTGCTGTGCGGCACAAATCAAGAAGTGCTTTCCGTTGCTATCGAGCAAACAGAAGCTGACAGGAAGGAGGGTGAACAATCACCTCACCTGAGGCCGTTAGCTATCTACGTACTGTATGCCGGCCACTAAACTGAGACGTATGTAGGCACCTGATCTCAGTTCTCAAGACAAGCAGCAAAGTAATGATGGGTGGTGGTTTCATGCAGGTGTGTGGGCATAACACGCAGGTGAGGATGGTGGTGTACCCTTGGTGGTGTACTCTTGGTGGTGTACGCATTCTTCCACCTCGCGCTGCGTGGTGCCCATGTGTGATAAATGGTCCTTACGGACACGCGGGCGTGTGTGTGCCGGGAAGAGCGGGGCAACGGGTTTGAATACGTTGGCAATGGAATCCGCTGCCGTTCGCAGGGAAGTGGCGGTGCTGGAAAAAGCATCAGCACAGTTTTACACTTTAGAAAGTGTGTACGGTGCGTACAGTACAGCCCCCCGTTTTAAAGTTTTGAAAGATGGATGATGCAGCGTTTTATCCCTAATCGGCCCAAAAGCGCACGACCAGGGCAGGGCGATGCGACGTGCGCTGCTGTACGGGGCGACGATGCAGCTTGCCAGGGGGTCGGGCAGGGCTCTCGGACGGGGCGGGGGCGTGGGCGCGCGCGCGCGCGCGGGGGGGGTGCGTTACGATGGAGGTCGAGAGACGAGACGCAGAAACAGCTCGAGTGGAGTGTACAGGGTGTACAACTTGACGTGCGACGACACGTGGCGCGGGCTTGCGAGAGATGAGATCGCGACAGGTCAGCGCCTCGAGTGGGGCGTCCCACGGCGGCGGCGAGCGGGCCTGTGTACGCGCGGGGTGGGCGCGCCCAGCGGGATTGGGGCGCCGCTCACGCGGGCGGGGCGCAGAACTGGACGGGGCAAGCGCCGACAGCTGGCGACAGCTGGCGACAGCGGGGCGGAGGGACGGGTGGGGAGCGGGGATGCGGGCGCGGACGGCGCGGAACGGCGCGCACACTGCATGTACTGTGCAGTGTAGTGGAGGGGAGGCGCGGAAGGGGGCGGAGGCCAGTGGAGGCGAACGCGCGGCGGCGGTCGGCTGTGAGGTAGCAGAGAGAGATGCGGTGGGGGGGGGAGGGTGACGAATCGACATGTGCTCTGCATGACGTTCCTGCACACGAAAGTGATTCAATCAACTCTGATGTTGACGTTGT